AGGCCTGACACCCTCCTGCTGGGCCCTGGGATCTGCCAGGCAGGGCACCAGCCTGAAAGCAGCTCCTGGGGCCTGATTACTCTGGGTGCAGAGCAGCTCCCTCAGAGCCCACATGTGGGTGACGTTCAGTAAGTGGGGGCTGACACCAGCTTCAGGTAGCAAGCCCAGTCTATGAAGCAGTATCTCCAGGAGGATGGGATGACAGCCCTCCCCTGCCCTCTCTTCTCCTCTAGCCCTCAATAAACAGGGAGAGAGGGGAGATGAGGCCCCCAGGATACTCAGGGCAGCACTCCCACTGGACAGCCGGGAGGCAGGACCATCAGTCCAACTGAAAAGCCTACTTAAACCCAATTCTTTTCCTAAACGTGTTTTGTGGGACTATTCCTTTTTGTAATTTGTGAGCCATATGATCATAGTTTAGAGGCCAAAGTCATTTTAGAGATCATTAAGACAATTGAAGTTTGGAGAAGTTTGAGATTCCAAAGGGGACGTGAAAATGAGCAAGACCCTGGCTGGCCCTTAAGCAGCTCAGTTTGGAGCGGACACCGGGAAGGCATTGAGATGCAGTTGTAGGCGCTCCCTGGAGAGCATTTACACGTGACTGCTTCAGGGACGCTGCCGAGGAGAGGGGCTAATTCTGCAGGGGGCCTGGACACGTCCACAGGGACATGTTTGGATCTCTGGATCAGGAAGGCTAGGAGGCGCCAATAGAGGATGGGGGCTTTGGGGACCATGAGGATTTGGTGTCTTGGATGGATACCCAGGCTGGAAAGGCAGGTGGAGCCCTGAATATCAAGAGTCTGCCTGCTACACTGGTAATTTGGGGAGCAAAGGGGTCATCAGAGTTTCTAAGCAGTGGAATGATTAGGGTGACAAAGGCCATAGCACATGGAAAAGGTGGGTTAGAGGGGAGCTGGTGGAGACTGAGAGCCCGTTGGTGGAACAGAGACAGGAAACGGCAGAGAGGGGTGAAGTGTGGGATGGGGATGAGGAGGGGTTTGTTTTGCGACATGTGGGACTATCTGGGACATCCAGAGCCAGGACTCAAACACGGGTTTCTAACCTCAGTCCAGAATGTTTCCAGTCCACCAGCCTCTCGCAACAGCTGACATTTGAGTCTTACCGTGCCAGGCACTATCTAGGTGTGTATGTGCCCACTGCAGTACCTACCCTGGGGTAGGTGGTATCTTTGTCCTCATTTTACAGGCGAAGGAAAGGAGGCACATAGAGGGCCAGGGACTTGCCCAAGGTCACAAAGACAGCAAGAACAGAGCCAGGATTTGATCTAGAGAACATGCTTATCACCACCACTTTGCTTTGCCTTCCTAACCTATTACTGAGAAGAAACTGTAAGTAAAATCTTGGGAAATAATGAGGGAAAAGGAGAGTGGGGCTGAGGGAGGCACAGATGATAGAGAGCAGGATCGCTTCCTGCACCTGAGGGCCTGGGACGTGCTTTTCTTTGATCCTCAGCTCCGGGCCATTTCTCTGGAGCAGGTAATTCTTTAGATGGGTGAGATTTTCGGTCTGAATCATGCCGCTAATTCCCAGCCCGCACTGGCAGTGGGAAATGAGTTCTAGATGCATAAGACCCCACGTCTTCCTCAGTAAGCAGCCAGAACCGCGATGAAAAATCTTTTTTTTTTTAATCCTCTCCCGAGGACATTTTTTTGTTTTTTGTTTTTTGTTCAGATAGAGTGGGAGGGAGAGAGAGAGAGAGACATTGATGTGAAAGGGACACATCGAGTAGTTGCCACTTGCACGACCCAACCAGGGCCGGGGACAAACTGCAACTGAGGTACATGCCCTTGGCGGGAACCGAACCCGGGTCTCTCTGGACCGCAGGTCGATGCTCTAACCGCTGAGCCAAACCAGCCAGGGCGCGGTGAACAATCTTTAGCACACCACTTAGCTCACATTCATGGTCAGCCTGGTCAGCGCCAAGGGATCCGACTTCTGTTTTGTTTTTTGTTTTTTTTTAATCCTCACCCGAGGACATTTTCCCATTTTTTTGTTCAGGTAGAGTGCGAGGGAGAGAGAGGAACAGAGAGAGAGAGAAACATTGATGCGAAAGGGACACATCGAGTGCCTGACACCCGCACGACCGACCAGGGCCAGGGACAAACTGCAACCGAGGCACGCGCCCTTAGCGGGAACCGAACCCGGGTCTCTCAGGACCGCAGGTCGACGCTCTAACCGCTGAGCCAAACCGGCCAGGGCTGTTTTGTTTTGTTTTTTATACTCACCCGAGGACATTTTTCCATTTTTTGTTCAGGTAGAGTGCGAGGGAGAGAGAGGAACAGAGAGAGAGAGAAACATTGATGCGAAAGGGACACATCGAGTGCCTGACACCCGCACGACCGACCAGGGCCAGGGACAAACTGCAACCGAGGCACGCGCCCTTAGCGGGAACCGAACCCGGGTCTCTCAGGACCGCAGGTCGACGCTCTAACCGCTGAGCCAAACCGGCCAGGGCTGTTTTGTTTTGTTTTTTATACTCACCCGAGGACATTTTTCCATTTTTTGTTCAGATAGAGTGGGAAGGAGAGAGAGGAAGAGAGAGAGAGAGAAACATTTATGTGAAAGGGACACATCGAGTGGCTGCCATCAGCACGATCAACCAGGACCAGGGACAAACTGCAACTGAGGTACATGCCCTTAGCGGGAACCGAACCCGGGTCTCTCTGGACCACTCTAACCGCTGAGCCAAACTGGCCGGGGCCGACTTCTGTTGACTGTAGAGAGCTTCGCTTTGAGAGGACACTGAGGCAGAAAGGTTTCCTTTGGGCAGCTGTGTGGGGTTGGCAGTGGCTGGATTTAGCAGGGTGTGGGGATTTTGGAAAGGCAACTCTGCTTCCTTATCTGAAGCAGGGGGACAAATCTTAGCTAATTAGTGAGAGTCTTAAATCTTCTCTGAAAAGAGGTGGCATAAAAGTTAACCATAAAAGCAGGGTGCACTCTTGGCAGTAAGTTCACATCGCACTAAGGATAATGAGGATGTAATTTGGCCCATCTCCTCCCTCTCTCCCTGAATTTTTTTTAATCCTAAAACCCTGACTGATCAGAACTTGGTCTTCAAGCTCCAGAGGAGGCCTTCGCCCCTCCCTTCCATGAAGGCAAGTTATTCAGGGATGAAGAGTCCTCATTACTTCACACACTAAAAATAAGAGCTCCTGTTTTTCCAGCGAGTACTGTGCCCGGCCCTGTTCTAAGGGCTCTGCATGTATTAACTCATTTAATGCTCGCAACCAGCTCTGAGGCAGCCCTGAGAAAACACGCAGGAACCTAGTGCAGGCAGTGGTGTGAGGGAATCTGCGAGCCCGGGTGAACAGAGCTGCCTCCTTCGGACTGGAACAGCCGGGCAGCGTCTTCAGCGCCGCAGCACGGTCGGCAAGGGCCCCAGGAAGCGACGCAGGAGGCCAAGGCAAACGGGGCTCAAGGTTCTGGAGAACAAACCCAATGTTAGGGGTTAAAGGCTTTTAAAAAACTATTTATATCAGCCTAGGTGTCAGGTGGGCCTTCCTCCCACCAGGCAAGCAGTGAAATGGACCTGATCCCTCTGAGAGATAACAGTACCCCACGCATACCATTTACCCAGGTGGCCAAAATCTGCTGAGAAACCCTTTCTACCTCAACCCACTTCCCTTCCTGCGCAGATGGCCTAACCTCAGCCTGCACACCTTCCGCCCGTGGGCCCGCAGCAGGGCAGAGGAGGCAGCTTTGGAGGCCCGAACCCAGCCTGCAGGGTCACATGACCCACAGGGCTTCTCCCTAAAGCTCAGTGCCCAGTAAGCAAGAGTGTGTGTAACAGCTGGTGATTGGACGAGGGATATTAGAGTGGGCAAGGGCAGCACGCCTCGGTGAGCTGATGGCTGCTGCAGGAGGGAGGCCAGAGGCCAAGGCAGCCAGCAGCTGAACAGGTGGGGCAGGAGGCAGCAGCCATTCCCTTGCAGGGGAAGGGACCGAGAGACGCAAGACAGCTCCCAGGCCGGAGCCTGCACAGCAGCTGAGGGCAAGGCATAGCCCACTCAGCCCCTTTATGCCCTTCTATTCCAAGGACGGTTTTCCCTCCATATTCCACACTAATATTTTTCTTTCTCAATTCCTAGACTTCTTATTTCAATCCCCAATACCCCCAAAAGAAGGTGAACAGGCAAAGATTGGGGGGAAGCGATGGGCTGACATTAATTGATAGGAGCAGCTCCAAGCAGTTCATGCTGCCTTATCTCTCTCTCCTTTGGATAGCGTGTGTCCGCCGGAGTCCGCGGGGTCGGTGATTAATAGGGGCCATCACTCACTGTCCAGGACGGCTGAAAGGCAGCAGGGAGGGGGCGGCCCTCCCCAGAACTGAGATAACAAGCAGCAGGAATAATGAGTGGTGTCACTCCACTTTTCATTTTGATGGAAAGTCATTACGGGAGTCAACGCCAGCGACAAAGAGCCATGAATCAACTGCTCTGCTATGAAATTAAAATCGAATTGCCGGCCATCCCCAACCCCTACCCTTCCTGGGAAACAGAGATGGGTAGGTGGCTTGGGAGACGGGTGCTGTCCTGGGGTGGGCTCTACCCAATCACAGACCAGGCAGTTACGGGGAGGAAGGAACAGGCGGCTAGTGGAGGTGACAACTCTTGTCTCCACCTTGTTCATCAGACCCTTCCTCCCCAAACCGCACTTCCCCTCTGCCTGGAGGTAAGCTGTGATTAAAAGGAAAATACAGCTTTGCTGCTTCAACAAGGCTGCCACTTGTCTGCTTCTCTCGGGCTTCTGGCCTGAGTGGTTCAGGCTGGGCCTGGCTGAGAGAAAGGGGCCCGACTGACTCAGTTAGCCCCCAGCTCCTTGCCGAGCCATTTGTAGATACTAATCGGGGTTCTCCCTGTCACTAAGAGGGAAAGTCCCTATCCTGGGCCTCCACAGGAACAGATGATGGCCTAGAACCCCGTGCAAACAGGTGCGCAGCCTCAACCCCAGGCCCAGAGACGCAGTAACTGCCGGGAATAAAGCCAGAGTCTCTTCCTCTTTTATTAAGTCCAAATAGATTATTAAGAAGGAGGAGAAGCTGTGGTTTCAGGCTAACAAGCCACAGGGCCAATCGAGACAGCTTCTTGCAGAGAGTACAGTGAGTGCCAAGGTGCCATCTGGGTGAGGTTCCAGCACGTGACTTTCCATCCGCCAGTCGGTCTGGTCTCTTGCCGGGAAAGGACCCGCAACATCAGCCCTGGCTGTCCCACCTCTGTCCTGAGGCTGAGAAGATGGGCAGGAAGAATGTGGAGGGTGTCACAGAGAGGTTCCCATCAGGTTCACGGGGCGCCCGTTGTATCTCTTGGAAATGTCAGCTTCGATCTGAAAGACAGTGATACCAAGTGGGCAGGAAGCAGAGGGTCTCATTCTGCGGAAGTAGGGGGTGGCCCTGGGTAGGTTTCCCTTCCTGTCTCACCAGCTTCTGCAGCTCCTTGGTCTTCTCTAGCAGCAGGTCCAGCTTGGGCTCCAGAACGGCCTGCTCCTGAAGTGCTTCCTGCTGCTTCTGCACCATCAGTTCTTTCTTCAAAGCCAGCAGCTGGGACTGCTTCAGCTTCTGCTGGAGGAACTCAGTCACTCTGTCCACATACCTAGCGGGGCACTCAGGTCAGTGCTTGGTGTGGCTGTGCAACCTGAGCATTCCCATTCAGCTGCTGGGCAAGGGGTGGCTCAGGAAACCAAAGCCCTAACTGGCCCCTTTCTTCCGCCTTATTTTATAAGGAATACCATTCCTGGGTCCCCTGTCCTCCCGGGAAGCTGGTTCTGCCTGCATACATCAAACCACCCTTTGCCCCACAGAGAATCTGTGTCCCCAGTTGGGATGGTGCAGTTATGAAAGGCAGGAATGAGGTCTAAGGGGTCAGGGCTGCTCAAGATGGGAGATCCCTGCCCAGATCCCTAAACAGCCCAATGTCAAGGGGAAAGCCAGACCTTGGTGAGGCCAGGATCATAAAAAGGTGTTGCATTCGAAGATTGGTGAGCCGGCCAATCAGATCCTGTAGCACCGACACCATGGTAACCATCTTCTCTTTGGTCTGGCCCTGCAGGATGGCTGGAGCCAACTGGAACTGGCTCACAGACAGGATGTCTGCCTCCTCACTCATCTCCACTGCTCTCTGGGACAAGAAGATCTCGAGCTGAGGACCGAAGAGGATTTGGTTCAAACCAAGAGGAGAACTCTGAGGCTAAGCCCTCAGACTACTCAGAATGAAGAATAAGATGTAAGGGTTGGACTGTGGGTAAGGAGGGGTTCTTTCCTCTGAACTTTTATTGCTAACAACTCAGCAACTACGTGAGAACTTGCAGCAGCCTCTGCTGTCCCTTTGTTCACCTGTTTTTATCTCAGGCCCTACCTAGCCCTGGACACCCTACTTCCTCCTAGCCTGTGGGTCAGACAACTAAGAATGCAGAGATTCAAAGGTTCTCTCAGCCCCACTGAAGGTCTTTTCTCTCCATGGGAAGAATGAGACTCAGGGCAGAGGAATCCATGTTTGAGAAGCCCTATAATAAGAAAGGGCGAGAAAGAATCTGAGAACCAGCCACATAGCTCGTCCCTTATTCAACCACGGAAACTTGATCTCTTTGACTCTCTTCTCCCCTGGAGTCCAGGAAGGACCTCTTTGGACAGAAAGAGGATAGAACTGGGGAGGACAGAATTTTCACGAAGCCCTCCCCAACCAGCACACCACTAAGAAGGGAGATTAACAAGGGCAGGCCCCCAGCTACCCAGTCCCACAAAGATCCAAGAACACTGGCTCTTTACTCTGGGCGGCTCTACCTCAGCCACAGGGATGGACAGCACTGAAACACAAATGAGATCGTGTGGCTCCAAAACTGTTCAAAACCTCTAACAGCTTCTCCGCCACTCAGAGTAAAAGCCGAAGTTCACCCTCTTGGCCTCTCTGATCTCCTTTGCTTCCCCCTCAAAGGAATCAAAGCTCCCAGCTCAGTCTCCTTGTGCAGCAGATGTGCAGGGCACACTCCCATCTCAGGGCCTTTATAACTATTCCCTCTGCCTGGAAAGCTTTTCGGCCAGACTTCGGCATGGCTCTCTCTGCACCCCTGCAGGTCTTGACTTACTGGTCACCTTCGCAAGGAGGCCTTCCCTGATCACCGGACATAAAGCCTGGCAGCCCAAGAATCTCCATCTCCCTCCGGCCTTCTTTTCTTCCATGTTAACACCTAACATACTGCATATTTTACTTTATCTTTTTAATCCTCACTCAAGGATATTTTCCCACCAATTTTTAGACAGAGTGGAAGGGAGGGAGGGGGAGAGAGAGAGAGAAACATCAATGTGAGAGAGACATGTTGACTGGTTGCCTCCCACACGACCCTGACAGGGGCTGGGTCGAACCTGCAACCTAGGTATGTGCCCTTGACCAGGAATCGAACCTGTGACTCTATGGTCCACAGGTCAATGCTATAACTGCTAAGTCAAACCAGCCAGGGCTACTTTATTTATCTTGTTTCTTGTCTGCTTTCTCCACTAGAACATAAGCTCCAGGAGATCAAGAAGGACTCCCACTGTCTTATCCCTGCTCAATCTCTGGCGCCTGAGGCAGTGCCAGGGGCTTAGAAAGTGCATGATAAATACGGCTGAATGAATGGGGGTATCCTAGTATGTGATGTCTCTGACCCACAACAAAGAGCTCTTTGGTGTCCTTCATAGAAACAGAAGGGTCAGGTCAAGTGTTTGGAGCAATGCCACCCATGCTGGTGCCAGGCCCCCCACCTCTGCCAGAGGATACAGGTACCTCCATGAGCTCGTCAATGAACTGATTCCGGGTCTCAGGATATTCAAGAAGTGTCAGGGCATCTGAGCCCCTAGCAACACCTTCTGGAGCTGCCAGGAAGAGAGACAGAGAAATGACGAAGGAGCTGAGGACAGGAGCCCCCCCCCCCCAAGGTTGAGATGCCCTAGTGGGTTAATATGGACATGGACTCCCTGAACTAAAGTCACTTCCTGTTCCAACCCAAAGGCGGAAGTTTACCCATTTCCATGTCTCAGTCGTAATCAGGCACTACTGCCACGCTCCAGCCTGAGGACCACAGATCTGGGTTCTGAGCAGAAGGGCCAGCCCACTGCTCTGGTTGGCAGCAGGTGAAGTTTCATCCTGCACTGCCCTCTAGTGGCTCAGATCACTGCTACAGCCTCTCAGCTGGTGAGAAGGGGGTCAGTTCAGACTTCAGAGCCTATCAGCACTCCTAGAACCCCCTCACCAGAGCGGCTGACCCACATTAGTTTCCAAAATGTTGAGAGCTTCTAGACTCAATTTTAAGGACTCTCTGTCCCCCTACACTCACACCCTTATCAAGATTTTCAGAAAACAGTTAAATGTGTGAGACGCCCAACCTGAGCAATGCATTTTTTTCTTTCATTTCTAGAGACACGGGGGCCTTTAGGCAGGGAACTTACCCTGGGTTCCAGCTTCCAGCACTGTGATCTGCAAAGCAGCAGCATCGTCTCCCCAGTCTATCCCATCGCTCCCAGCTTCCTGGGTGGAGAGCAAAGAACCCCAGGAATGTTGGCAGAAGTTTACCCAGCAAAAGAAGCCAGAATAAACCAAACACCTCGATAAGTTCAACGACTGTACATTTCAACTATATGAAGGACATGCAGCCCTGAGGTAGATAGCAAAATGGCAGTGTATGGCCATGTATGTTGCCACCCTCACCCCTGCTTTGTAGAGTTAACACCTGACGACATCCCCAAAACCTTGCCCCAAATACCAGGAGAAAAGAGGTCAAGACTCTGATATGTCACTTGGGAAACTCTGTCTCCCCATGGATTACACCTGGTCTGAGAGCTATGAACTTCAAGCGATGCCTTTAAAGACACAGACAAGCCCAGGCAGTGTGGTTCAGTGGTTGAGCATCGACCCATGCACCAAGAGGTTACTGGTTCAATTCCTGGTCAGGGCACATTCCCAGGTTGTGGGCCCGATCCCCAGTGGGGGGCATGTAGGAGGTGGCCAATCAATGTTCTCTCTCACTGATGTTTCTCTCTCTCTAAAAATCAATAAAGAGAAAAAAGGCACAGACAATACTTTTCTTCTCTCTGAAGCAGTAATCATAGAAAGTCCTGAGATGGACCAAGAGGGCTTCCTAACCTTTGAATCCGGTTCCAGGGAGATGCCCCAGTCAATTCCAGCAGCCTGGGCAGGGATGTCGGAGTCAGTGCCTTCAGAAGCCACCTCCACCCCAAAGTCGCCCCAGTCAATCTAGAAGGAGAAAATAAGTGTTACTCTGCAGATGTGGGTGATAAAAAGGGGTCACAGGCCTTGGCCACTTCTGTAGGAAGTACTAGCACATTGTTTAAACGCAGTGACCTCCAAGCTCCCCATTCGGAAAGCCCATTCGGAGAGCTCGTGGGACTGGAGGGTTCCTAGTCCAAAGCCAACCAGCTCGCTGACCGCATCACTCGTCTATACTCTGATCTCAAGAAGGCCAGAAAAATAAGGAAGTAGGGCCTCTGGGCCCTCCCACCTCTAGACTCTCTCACAGAAATCCCCCTTTCTTCCTCTGGACTCTGAATTCCGGTTGTGAAGGGTTGGGCTGTGTGTGTGCTGGGGGGGCAGTTCTCCTTCAGCCTGCCTTACCGCGTCTTCTTCCACCTGCTCAGGAGGCTCCTCGAGGTGTGGCCGCTCCACCACGGAGGGCTCTGTCCCTGTCCTCCACTCATACATCGTGGCGTTGCCCCGCTTCTGCACAAACTGCAGCATTGGCAACACCTGCTCTTCCGGGCTGCAACGGAGTACAGAACTGAGCCTCCTGCTGCCCACTCATGAAGACAACAGTGGGCTTTGGCCTGAGCCATAAGGTCAGATGGGCAAAGCTCCCAGGGGTCAAGTGCATAAAGTAAAACTCAAGTGTCACATGGGAAAAACACAAGCGGAGAAGAGAGAACAGCCAGGGAAAATAGGCCAACTGTTCCCCCTGCCAGAGAGAAGCCAAGGTCCCCTTTACCTTTCACACACAAAGCCCACACAGGCCTGGTACAGGTCAATGGCTTCCCCCAGGGACTGAGCCCCCGCCCCAATCTCGGCCAGCTGACTCGGTAGCTCCTTCACCAGGGCCAGCAGCTCTCTTCGGACGTTGTCTCCCTACAGAGGATCGAAGAAGTGGGCTAAGACAGAGTGATGGGAAGCGGAGTCCAACAGACTAAAGAAAACCTGTCAAGACTGGAGACAGGAGAGAAACTAGCTAAAAGGGGGACCCGCAGACTGAGAGGAAGCCTTTCCCAGCTGCAAAGGTGTTGGGCCCAGAAGACAGACAGTGGCCTCAGGTGCCCTCCCACTTCAAGGAGAACCTCGCTCACCGTGATGCCATACTGCTTGCACGAGTGGTAGAACTGCTCCCGCATCTCGGCAGCCCCCGCCTGGCCCTCCTCCTCCTTGCGGCTATATTCTTGCTGCAGCTGCTGGCACTTGGCAATCTGCTTCTTCAGTGAGGGGATCTCATAGGTGACGTTCCGAACAAGGAGGCTAGAGAGTTCCACTGAGAGGGGCCCAGGAAATTCACCTGACACCCAAGCCATAAGGCAAACATGCCCCAGGACATGCACACACACACACCCTGGCCTGGAGGGGAAGAGCCCGTCCAGCTCCTCCCCTTCCTAGCAGTGGAAACTAACACAGTAATTTAACCTCTAATCCAATTCTCATCTGTATCATAGGGACAATATTTGCCGTGAGGATTAGAAAAGGAAATCCATATAAAAACCAAGCATAATTCCTTGTATTTAGTAGGTGCTTGGTAAATAGTAGCTATTATTATTATTTATACTGTTAGAAAACACACCCAAACTACAATCAGCCCTTCAGTCACTCCCTCAGGAACCGAATATGGCCCCAAGGATGATCCACACCTCTTCTGCCTCGTACAGAATGGGGTGCAGAGCCCTGGCCGGTTTGGCTCAGCGGTGAGAGCGTCGGCCTGCAGACCAAAGAGTCCCGGGTTCAACTCAAGCCAAGGGCACGTGCCCTGGGTGCAGTTCATCCCTGGCCCCAATTGGGGTCGTGCGGGTGACAACCAGTTGATGTGTCTCTGTCTCTCTCTCCCTCCCACTCTGTCTGAAGATAAATGTAAAAATATCCTTGGGTGAGGATTTAAAAAAAAAAGAATGGGGGTGCAGAGCGGATGGGGCTCCACCTTATCAAGACTTCAGCGGTAGAGAGTGCACACACATCTGCTGGGTCAGGCCCGGCAATTACCTGCTACCTGTCTAGTCCTCCTTCTTCTCCCAACACACTGTGGAATTTTTCCACCTTGCAAATATCTACAGCCCAATGTCTTCCCCCACCTAGTCTGCACCTCCTAGAAGCTTAGTGTCTCAGAACTGTGGGAGTGGGCTTCCCCAGTGGGCCCCTGGACACCAGGATGCCCAGGCTGGGCCGCCTTACCTAAGTAGCTGTTGTCCTTCTCATACAGTGCTACAACCTCCTGCCAATCCTGAGGAAGAACAGAAACAGGAAGTGAGCCAGAACAGCACTCGGCAGTCACATCCCAGCTCAATCCAGGAACAGGGCAAGCTCTCCCAGTCTTTGCTTCACACCAAACACAAACTCCTCGTCCTCCTTTATAACGCTGCTGGACCCCCCACTTTATTTTAAGAGTGTGGCACCAAAGAGCAGTCCCCAAAGGAGCTGGTCTGAAATGTAAACCCTGGGGTAAGAGCTACTTTTGGCATTAACTATGAGGACAGAGAAAAGTTCAGAAAACATGCCATATAGGCATCTCCACCGGATCCTCTGAGACCAGAGGGGCTCTGATTCCACTACCACCCTCGCCCACACTTACCTTCATTCGCTGTGAAGAGTACCGGCCAAAAATATTTTTTGTGGAAGCTTCGGTTCCTTTGAGAAGGTCCACGATTCTTAGGCAGTGGAAGTAGTGAATGTCTGGAAAGCAAGGAAGAACAAAGGCTTTGAGAATTCCAGCATCTTCCCCATCTACTCTGGCCAATGCACACAGCTGACTCATTTTTATGCCAGTAATTTTAGCAAGCACAGTTCTCCCATCATGCACAGCTCTCCCCTTCATCAGTTTGTGTTGGAAGAAACCAGCATCTATATCCCAAATAAAATCTCTTTCTCTAGGGATCAGCCCTGTGGCTGAACAACAGAGGAGCAGCTCAGCTGCTATATACTGCTGCTCCAGGAAAAGCAAGGGCTCCAGTACTGTAGCCCCAAAGCACTCACAGGATCCAGAGAGCAGCTGGGCAATCTCTTCGCTTTCTGGCATATCCTGGATGGCAGCATTGATCTTCTCTCGGATTGTCAACACCAGACTCTGCCATTTCAGGTTGCAGTGCCTTCTGTCCACCAGCCAGTCTATGTGGGAAACATCCGAATCACAACGTTCCCATTCATACAGTCAAAATTCTGTCACTAATTCAAGTGAAATATGCGAAGACAGTGGCTAAGAGTTGTATTCATACTGATTAAGGTATGGGGGTCATGGGAAGATGGAAATGAAGACAGGCCCAAAGGGATGCTTGAGGCTAAACAGACTTTGGCAACCTGACTTCCTAGAGCAATTGCCTCCACACAGGGATAAAGAAAAACTTTAAATTGGTCTTGACATCAAAGTGCCACTTTTGACCACTCTAAATTCTCCATAATATTTTTGCTTCCAGGGGTAATTATAACTTTCCTGACAGAGGATGATGTTCAACTTCCACTTCCTCAGGGCTGGGATTAACCATGACAATAGAAAATACAAAACGGTTATGCCAAGTACTGGATGAATGAACAACTGCAAAGCCCCTAATACCTACAGCGCTCTAAAGACTAGATAACGCTGGTCTAGTCTTAACAGTGAATTACCTCCCTGGACACGTGAATACCAACGTGACTGACCTCCTGGAATCTGGGCCTAGATTTATGATTTTAGTAGAGGGGATGGGTGGCTGAGAGTCATGCATGTTTCGTCAGTAGGAGAGAGCTAAGAGCTAGGCTTTGTGGGTCAGATGGTCCTGGCTTCTAATTATCAACTTTCTTAGGCAAGTCTTTCAACTTCTGTGCCTCAGTTTCCCCACATGTAAAATGGGGGAATTAAGATACAGAGTATAGGGGAAAACGTAGGTAAACATTGAACACTGTGCCTGGCACATGGCAAGGACTCGGTAAATCTTAGTGATTGTCATTTTTACGTCAACTGCCTAAAACACACCTGCTATAGAACAAGCCCTCAATGAATGGTTGTTTTATTGATCTTTTTCATGACCAATGATAACTTCATACACCAAGGGTGCATATATGCTAAAGACCTGGGACAAATCTGAAGTGAAGCTAAAGAAACTCTAAGTGGCCACTGCGCAGGACTGATTAAATGGCCCAGTGGTAAATTCAGAACCTGCCTTGGTTAAAAATCTGTCAACTGGTCAAACACTGGGGCCCCACATAAGTTATCACTATACTCCCTCTGCTGTATTCCTTTAAATTTTTCACAGAACTAGCAGCAAAGGGATGAGGCAGTCAAACAGATAACAAAACTGGCATCAAATCAATAAATCCAATGACCATTTTAAACCCAGGAGCTGTGCACTTGCCCTGGAGGGGCCTGAATGAAGAGGTCGCGGTCCTTCATTTGGCCCCGAACTGGGGAGGAGGCATGTATTTCAGGTACAGACATGGGGCAGATGGCCTGACCACTAACAGGTCTTTATTTCCAATTGGGTCTATGTCCCTGTCCTTCCTGAAGTCAAGGAAAGATGGAAACTTTTAAAAAGAAAAGAGGGAGTTTTTTTCCGACTTAATACAAAAAGCATAGACGATGGGTGCCTGCCATAAGTTCCAATTTCAGATCTGCCACTTGGTGATGACTGTCTTTACAGTAAGCCATTACCATCTCTGCGGCTGAATGAGTTGACAACACACATTATAAAGGTTAAAGTGGAAAACGCAGCTCAAGCACAGACTGTGTATGGTTCCTTCCCGCCCCGGTTAGCGAGGCAGGTCAGGCCACAGATGGGGGCAAAGAACAGAGCGAGAGGTCAGCGATTTCACAGGGCCTTGGGGCGTCAGGGCTCCCAGCTGTCGGCGTCAGGGGGCAAAGGCCGGGACTCCCCTGAAAGCTGGCTGCGTGGGGACACCCCGTCCTACCGAGCAGCTTGCTGGTCTGGATGTCGATGGGCACGTGCTGATGGTCCTGGCGGGAAACACAGCAAACGGGAGCATGAGCGTGGAGAGGGGCGTGCCGCTCGCGCGCTTATTTCACCGGCACAGCCACCATGCGGAGCCAGAACGAGGTGCCGGGAGGGCTGCTCCCTCCCGGGAGGGAGGGCGAGGAAGCAAGTCAGGGACGGGTGAACTGAACCCAATCCAGGGGTCCCCGGATAGCCCCTCCATTTCCTCAGCTCCTGTTCCCCCACCTGCATTTTGCCTCCACTTCTGCTTCCGGCCGACGACCCAGGCACGCCCCGCCTACCACCAATCCCGCGCCGGTGGGGCGAAGCTTCAGTTTAGGCCCAAACCGGCCTCCTCCGGCCACGTCGCCGCTTTCCTCAGAGCCAATCGGAGCGCTCGCTCCACCCCTGGCAGCAAGCCCCACCCACCCCGAGGCTCCGAATGGCTGAACCCAGGAGGGGCGGGAGAACAAAAAACAGCCAATGGGAGGTGCGAGGCGGGCTCAAGGCCGGGAACGCCAAGAAAGCGCTGCAGTGGCGGCGCGATCGCGGCAGGCGGCGCACGAGAGCTGGTCACAGCCGCACGGAGCTCTCTGAGCACAGATTAACGCGTCTGCAGGCAGGGTCCTAGCACCGACGGTGTTGAACTGGAGGCCTTGTGTCGTTTTACCCTTTCTTGTAGTTTGTAGGTTTCTTGTGGCACTTGCCACACTTTGCCTTCCCATTCAGTTTATCTAATAGATATGTGTTGAGCACCTGCTACGTGTTAATTAGGGCAGGGAAGGAGAGGACAGAGGGTCAAGGGAGCATCACAAACATAACGTGTATATTGAATCTTAAAGGAAGAGCTACAGAAAGAGGGGTGATGTGTGGAAGGGTGTTTCTGGTGGAGGAGACAAAGTTTTGGAGGCCACAAACTGCAAGAAGTGTGTACAGGGAACAACAAGCAGCAGAACTAGCAACATAATTGGTTGGGGCCAGTGCAAAATGAAAATGAAGGGCCCTCACCCTGGCTACTGTGGCTCAGTTGGTTGGGCACCCTCCCCTGCATGGGAAGGTTGCTGGTTCGAGTCTGGGCACGGCTCCATCCCTGGTAGGGACGCATAGGAGGCAGCAGATGGATGTTCCACTCCCATATCGATGTTTCTCTCTCACTGTTCCTTTGTCTTTAAAAATCAATTAAAAGAAATAATTTAAAAAAAGAAAATGCAGGGCCCTTGCTAAAAAATATAAAAAGGTTCAAGAGGGCACTGAAGCCCTGGCCGGTCCGGCTCAGCAGTTAGAGCATCAGCCCATGGACGAAAGAGTCACGGGCTCGATTCCGGTCAGGGGCATGTACCCCAGTTGCAGTTCATCCCCTGCCCTGGTCAGGGTCGTGCGGGAGGCAACTAGTCAATGTGTCCCTCTCACATCGATGTTTCTCTCCCTTCCCCTCCCTCCTGCTCTATCTGAAGATACAATAGAATATCCTCAGGTGATGATTAAAAGAAAAAAGAGGGCAGTGAATAGGTTTCACACTAACGAAGCAGGCCCTGCAGGCAGGCCAGCCTCTGCGCAGTAAAAGGCATGGATTGGCCAGAGAAGAGACTGTAAAGTTTGAAGGGTCATAGCATAAGGAGTCTCATTTAAGAACGTGGACTTCACCCCTGCAGAGATGAACATTGAAGTGTTTTAAGGGTTTGAGGCAGGGAGGGAGGGACCTGTATAGATTAGCTGCAAGGAGGATGGACTCATGGGACATAAGGATGGTGGTAAGGGAGATAAGACTGTCAGGAGATTATTATTTAGAAGTTCAGTGGGAGAGAGGCATGAGGAGGAATGGAAGAGCTGGATTTGAGACTGTTTTGGAGGAAATAAGCAGGACTTGGCAATTGGCTGTGTGTTGCGGGGGCTGGGGCACTGCAAGGATGACACTTAAATGGTTGGATGGAGGAGCCATCACCTGAGACAGGGATGCAGGATGCCGAGCAGGTGTTGGGGAAGAGGGTGTCTAAGCTTTGAACTGTGGGGTTGGTGGTGCTGGAAGACCCCTTGTGAGAAGTGTGCAAGAGGCACTGGGGTCTATAGCTCTAGAGTTCAGAGGAGCCATGGGTCTGGGGATACAGCCATGGGCTGACTGTTCTGTGGCCCTGGTGGTGGCAGAAGCTGAGAGAGGGTATGAGATTCAGCAAGTGGTGGGTAGAGTGAGGAGGGAAGGTGGGCAGAGGACTGATCCCTGGCATCTCACAGGGCTGGGTGTGTCATTTTGTACCCCTCTCCTTCCAGGTTGTTAGCTTCTCCAGGAGGCTCTGCCTGGTTCTTTCTGAATGACCCCCACCTCCATCCCATCCCAGCACGGGGGCTCAGTACATTTTTTATTAAATTGTGTGGTGTCATAACAGTGAGAAGGTCTAGATTCCTGCCCAGTGAGATCTTGGACCATTTCCATAACGTCTCTGCCAGCCAGTTTCCTCAACACCTATCTTGACTATCTCACGGTATTTCTGTTTATATGCTTAAATAAATAGACATACTAGATGTATATAACTCTTTACAGTTTACAACTGCTATAATATAGTTTCTCATGCTATGTAAACTCTGTGTGTGTGTGTGTGTGTGTGTGTGTGTAACGTTAATCATTGTTATATGAGTTGAAAGACTTCCCTGAAAATGACTCATAGGGCAGAACTAAGGGCCTCTTCAGGGCTCTGTTATGGGAATTTGGCTCCCATCTGAGTCCTGACTCAGGCTCTAGGAATTGCTGGGGCTCCCTCATAATTAAACAAACATTTACTGAGCTCCAACTATGTGTTCCTGGCTCCCAGGGACATCCCAGGAAGCAGGGCCTTGCCCTACCCTCAAGGTGCATCTCTCCTCCTAGAATCAGCAGGTGGGGCAGAGCAGAGTGGGGTGAGTCTGGAAGGCCCAGCCCTGGTGACTTGGTAGAGATACAGACCACTGGCACTTCACCCCACCCTCAGCTCCCCAGGTGACTCATGTGGAACAGAAGGATGTTTGAAGACAGTCCACCTAGCTGCTGACCTGAGGGTGGCTGCCCCGGGGAGCACAGGAGTGTGGGCTTTGGACAGCATTCTGCACAGTCTGTTCTTTCCCAAGGCCATAGAAAACCTCAGGACTTATGGGCAGATGAGCACATAAGTGGTCTGGCAGCCAGGACATCAAGGTCCTCAGGGCTCCCAGCACCTGGAAAGTGGCAGAGAGGAGTGGGATGCTTCTGACTGTGAACCTCTCACTTCTCTGTTGGTTTAGCAGGTGGGACACTGTCTGGGGGAAAGGAGCACAGGTAGGGCGGTGGGGAGGACACAGTAAGCCTGTGCTAGCGGTGGACAGGAGAGCACACACCCTCAGGGTGCTATGTACGGGGCCGCCTTCCAGCCTTTGTTGTTGTTGTCGTCAGTTTGCTTATTAGATGATAACCATGTGCCCTAGGCCAGTGTAGATCTAAATGTTTTTCAAGTCTTATCTAATTTGATCCAACAACCTTGTAATGTGGGTACTATTATTGGCCAGATTTTAAAGGTAAGGGAGCCAAAGCTTAGATAGTAACTTTCCAAGGTCATATAGCTGGTGGGGCTGGGATTCAACTCCAGGCCCGTCTGGCTCCCCAGCCTGCATTCTTGTTCTCTAGCATGTAGCTTCTCCTGTGGCCCTGCCCGCCACCTCTCACAGCTCAGCACCAGGGCTCATCCTCCTCCTCTGCGGCCTGCCTCCCACTTTCTCCCCAGTTGTTGTGCCAGTCAGAACCCCCACGCTGCAGTCCCTGCCCCTTTCCAAAGTTCTTTCTTACCACGCCCTATCCTGGGCATAAACACCTTTACTTATCTTCCTGTCATATCCATAAAAAGAAGGTTTACCCTTGACATTCAAGTAATCCATTTTTTAATCTGCCTTGTGTTTATGACTTTTTGGCCCTTGTCTCTGTGTGTTTGCTCACAGCCACACTGACTCTGTGTGTGTGTGTGTGTGTGTGTGTGTGTGTGTGTGTGTGTGGTCTGCCTGCTGGGCTGGAAGCCCTGGAAACTCAGCAGCTTCAGCTGGGCCTCTCGCTGCTTGCAGTATGATCTCTGTGTGGTGTTCTTCAGTCTGTCTCCTCAACCAGTCTGTGAGCACCTTGTGGGCAGGGAGCACAGTAACCCCAGCACCTGGCCTGACATTGAATGTGAGGTGCTCAGTGGATGCATTTAAAGGAAGGAATACGAGCCCTGGCTGGTTTGGCTCAGCGGTTAGAACGTCGACCTACGGTCCAGAGAGTCTCGGGTTCGGTTCCCGCTAAGGGCACGTACCTCAGTTGCAGTTTGTCCCCGGCCCTGGTTGGGTCGTGCGGGTGGCAGCCACTCGATGTGTCCCTTTCACGTCGATGTTTCTCTCTCTCTCCCTCCCACTCTATCTGAACAAAAAATGGAAAAATGTCCTCGGGTGAGGATAAAAATAAATAAATAAATAAACTTTGCTCCCTCTGTAAAAAAATAAAATAAAATAAAGGAAGGAATACGAGAAGGTGGAGCATGAGCACGGAGGCAGTTAGTCATAAGTGGGGACCAGCATCATTTGATCTGGGGGGAGGGGTTTGTGTTCCCCAGTTCTGTTCTTTATCCCTCTCTCTAGAGTTCAGGACTTGTAGTCAATCCCTCTATACCACTTGGAACCAGAGGGAGGAAATCAGGGTGAAGATATCAGGGCTGGTAGGCTTCATGAGTTGAGCACAGGCCAGTGAAGGCCCATGAGGGGCCAGCCAGATAGGTCATGCTCTGGGGCCACTGACTACACCCTAAACCTTGGCCAGCCATGCCCTCCCCATCCCTTCCACTTTTGTTAGTCTTCTAGGGAAAAACACCTCACTGGGTGGCCTTGTGAATTGGGTCAGAGGTGTTATCTCCTAAAGATGTCACTGCATTTCATCATGTCATCACCCTCCTCAGGGCAGGTAGAGGGAGTCTGCTCTTCCAAGGGAAGGTTTGGGGTCCACTACCAAACCACCCATCTTGTCAGCCTCCTTTCCCATGTACTTCAATGTTAAGTACCCTCTGTTGGCCAAGAACTATTTTCCAAAGTGCTGGGGACCTTAACACAAAAACACAGTCCCAGCCATTAGAGAAAGTGACAGTGTGATGTGTAAAGGGCTAAATCCCGTGACAGCATACCCAGAGCCTAGCATTATGCTCATGCTTACTAGGTGCTTTAAAAATCCATATTACCCAGCCCAGCTGGTATAGCTCACTGGTTCGGTTTTGACCAGGAGGTCGCTGGTTCAATTTCCGGTCAGGACACATGCCCAGGTTGTAGGCCCGATCCCCAGTGGGGGGCATGCAGGAGCCATCCAATCAATGTTCTCACTCATCGATGTTTCCATCTCTCTC